CGCGTAGGTGAACACAATGGGCGGCTGAGCGTAAAGTCCGACCTGGAGCCGCCGGAGGAGAAGACGACCAGCAGCACTTCCGACTCTGCTCTTGCTTCCAAGCTCTTAACACCTACCTCGTCGACCGCACCCTCTTCTTTCTTTCTCCTGTCCTCATCCTCGAACCCGCTCTCTTCTTCCTTCCTCCTGTCCTCGTCCTCGAACCCGCCCTCTTCCTCATCATCAACCACCTCCCTTTCCACTTCACGCCCAACCCCTCCCCCAAACTCCCAAAATGCCCAAGGAAAAACAGCTCTCACCTTTTCCTCTTCCTCGCCTCCAAACTCTCCTCCAACCCAACAACCAATCTCCCATCCTCACCCTCCCTTATCGTCGCAGCACTATCCTGAACGCCCCTCTCCCAGCGCTCCTTTCCCTTCGCCTTGCCCTTCGCGCCTCTTGTGCCATGATTATTTTGTCCGGCACCTGACGTTGGTGCGAGATTGTCGTCTGAGTCTGAGGATGCTTGGAGATAGTCGCCGTCGGTGGTGGACATGGTGATGGCAGTGGTTTATGGGAGGTTTCGGGGAAGAGATGGGTGTGGCGTGGAGTGGGACGTCAATCGTCTATCGTATCGTGCAGAGCCGGTTGTGTGTGGGTGCGATACGAGCGTGTGGGTTGGCTGACGAGAGCCGTAGTAGGTGCCGCGGAGGACAGGCGCGAAAGCAGCGCTGGAAAATTCACTCCAGTGTTTTTACTTGATGACTTCGCCACTTCCACCCACTCTTTGCGCGTCGGCCTATCACTGTGTATCCTCCTGTTCCCCGGCTCACTCAGGCAAAGGCAGCAGCAGCAGCCGAACCCTCACAGTGCTACACTAGCGCACTTTCCCACGCACAGATATCCCTCTCTATCTTCCCAACTATCCTTTCCAACCCTCTTGCCTCTCTCCGTATCCCCTTCTTGCGCGTCGGTTACTTGTACAGCTTCTTCTCTCCTTACCCACGCAGCTCATCCAAGCATAATCTCTTCCTGATCCTTTCTCCCAGCTTGCTTTGGAGTAAACGAGCGCGTGGAAGGAGCGAAGTCTTCGTGAAGAGGGGGTATCGAGCGTTTATCGTGGGTTCGATTGTAGCCTCGACCGTTTTGCGACGGAAACTTAGGATTGTCGTTGTCGTTGCGCCGAGAAACTCGAAGCTCGGACGGCAGCTCCCGTTCCGCGGGCGGCGCGGTCCCGTCGACGCGCTCCACGTGACGCTGGGAATGGATTGATCTGCACCAGGAACCCGTATGCACTAAAACATGGATAGGGCTTTGTTGATGTAATAGTAGATACTGTGCCTACTAAGCGGCATGTACAAGGCCATCATACTGCATTCATACTCTCATAAGCTTCATCAATTCCTCGTCTCAATATCAATAATCAGTCTGGTATCCATTTTTTCATTATTTTCGAATGGATATCGGAAATCTATTCCTCCGTCTCCATCTCCTACCAAACACACATCCTTCCTCTTCTCCTCAGTGTTCAGGTTCGGGGATATCCGTGAAAAGGCCGAGGTATGTACCCATATCGTAGATCGGGTCCTCGCCAAAACGACCACGCAATGTGGCTCAAGAGACGCATCGCGTAAACGCCATGCTCTACAACCTAAGCGGCGAGCGGTTCGAAGAAAAGGAAAAGAGGTAGCCAGCCAGCCATTATTTGTTGTCAAAAATTCCAGATTCCAGTCGGTCAAGTTCAGTCGCCTCCGTGATCCATGAGTCATGATTCTTCGAAGGAAAACCTTCGGACGACGATAGAGAGGGAGCGTTAGAAAAAAAGCATGCAAAAACGTCAAAACGCGGGAAGGGGACTATTATGTGTAAGTGGAGCCGCCGACAGGCGCGGCAGGCCAATCGTCTTCTGTGATGCTGGACCAGAAGACCCAGATGAGGATCACGGCGGCCAGGGTGAAGAGAGTTTCGAAGAGGCCGCCGTTGATTTTGCCGTTTGTGCCGTTGCAGATGTGGACGCTGATGACGTATTGGAAGATTTGGCCAATGGCGAACATGAGGGCTGCGGAGACGAGGTAGACTAAGGGAGTTCGAGGTTAGTGAAGGAGGTCGTGGGATATGAAAAGGCGGTGGGCCTTACTCATGGGCTTCTTCTCTCCCAGTATCTTGATTACGAGATAGGACTCCATGATGAAATAGATGACCAGGAATACGAGCGGCACGAGCTGGTAAAGGGTGTACAACGAATAGGAGCGGTTCGGGGCGGTCAGGGTGTCGTCCCAAAAGCCTGTCCAGCTGAATCCCGTGTCGAGTGCGATGTAGCCCGTTCCGACGAACAAGATTGCGGAGGATAGAAGAATGAGTCCAAGGGATAAGGGAGTTCCGTCATCAAGGAGTTGGAAGCCGACCGCTGCGTTCATGAGCAGAATCCATAATGTTGCGACCACAGCGGCAATGTGGACCGCGCTGAATGCCTGGATTCGGATGTCAGTATATTGGCAGGTCGTGTGAGGACCGGTCATTCCATACCCTCCGCACGGCACCGTCCAAAGGAAAGCCTCCGACAGTGAAGATTTCACATATCTCAATGACGACGTATCCGAGAAGGAATAGCTGCATCTCCCTGTTGACGTTCCCTGTCAGCACCCATCATCCAACAGGGCGCAAGGCGCGTACCTTCGGCCAACCGCGGCTCTTTTCCGTTCTGACCGCCATAGAAGAAAGGCGGCGACAACAAAAGCTATGCCGCATAGTAATATGGATCCTACTACAGTCAGCTTGTCGTCCTCTCTTCAATGCGTGGAGTACCAACCGAGGTTCGCGAGATGCCGTCCGCCGCTCAGCGGGATTCCAGTCAACTGGCAGCCGCCATAGTATGGGGATTGGCCGCCTCTCGAGGGCGACTCGTTGAACAGCTGCGGTATGCGCGATTAGCCAGGCCCTTCTCGGTGAATTGCTCGGATGCGACCGCATAGAGAGGGATGATGATGGCATGGGACCGTACATTACAGACTGCAGCGAAAGGTCGAGATTAGCGTGAATTCCTGTAGAGATTGCGGTGTCTGAGGCGCATTCAAAAGGCAGCAGTACGCACCTGGAATCGTCGCATGCCCACTGCCACTGTCTCTGCAGAAGTCGTGCCAGTTACCGTAGGCGGTGGTTGGCATTCTGGCAGCTGGCAAGGCTGCCTCCTCGCTCGGTCGGCGCTAAATGCGTGGAGACGGGCCAAGCGCGACGGTCACGGACAGTGGAACAATGGGTCGGCGGTGGTGGTGGTGATGCGGACGAGGAGCTCTGAGATATCGCGGTCGAGGAGAGCGGCACTGGAAGAGGCGTTCTTCTGGAAAGCGTGGAGAAGAGTCTAGGAAGAGTGCTGGGTGCTGGGCTTGAGGAGCGGTGGTAAACAGTTTGCGAGATTCCTGCTTTGCGGCTGTTTGAACAAGGCCACCGAGTGCTCCAGGGGGGCTGGTCAGAGGCGCTAGGAGTGCCAGGTCCAACGCGAGGGACTAGGAGCGCCCACGGCGGCACGGCAGCAGACAGGTACAGCAACGAGCGACGAGCGCGGCGATGTAAGGAGAGAGGGGAGAGAGGAGAGAGAGGAGAGAGGAGAGAGGAGAGAGTAGAGAGCAGAAGAAGAGAGCGAGTGAAGGTGGACGTGTAGGTCCGCGGCAGACGTGATGTAGGTGGCCGGTGGTGGAGGTGATGCTCTGTGTGATGAGAGCTCTGGTGAGCTTTGGAGTCTGGCCTTGAACCATCACCCACAAGACAGCACAAGAGGCAGGCGCGACCAGAGAGTCGTCGCCGTTAGCGGCCACAATTAAGCCTCCGCCCTCATTTGGCCATCCCACGCCTGAAACGACAACTGCCACCCACCTACACCACCACAAGCTCAAGGCCCTCCTCTCCCGTCCATCATCCCATCATCCCATCATCCCATCATCCCATCCTCTCATCCTCTCATCCCCCGTCCGATCGCCTTGTGCACTCAATTTCCGGATCGTCGACTTGCGGGAGCGTGTGCCTCTGCTGCTTCGCGCCGGCCAGGATGCAGCCGCGCAGAAACGCCACCCTTCATTTCCTACCCTACCAATCTTCCGACCTTCAGCTACCGCCTCTTTTTCCTCGAGCTTGTCCATAGCAACGACGGCGGCCTCGAAGCGCCCTTTCTGCCCAGGAAGATGCCCGTCGCCTGGTCTCGTGACGGCCACATCGCCCGCAGTCGACCACCAACACGATGCTCACCTGCTGACCCGCCATGGTGCTGTTGAAGCCATCTGGACAGCGCCGCCAAGGAGCGACTGCTCTCCCGCCGACGCCTCCACCATCACTGCTCGACGACTCGTTCCCGTGAAGCAGCATGAGCCTGAATGTCACGTCTTGACTCGGACACGAGAAGTCCTGACCCGGCTCCGCCAATTCTCAAACTGTCTTGGTCCGCCCACCGGCTCGTTCTCGCTCACTGTTTGCAGGGACATCCACCGCTGGCTGTTGCCGGAGTCTGTGCAACGCGTCTGGAGCCGACTCCCTCATGTTCTCAAGGCCGACATGGCAACTTGAGCTGTTCTTCGAGGTCACAATGACATTGGATCCTGTTTGCAGTCTCCTTGCTATGACATATACCATCTGTACATTCAATATATACATTACTACACCATCTGTCTGTTTACCTGCTCCCAATAATGAATCGCCCTTCGGAACTAATTCATTGACCACACAACGCGTCTCCGGTTACGCAAGCAATAAGAAAGCTGCAGAACGCCTAGACTCGTCATCTCCACTCACGCACACTGGGCATCCAGGCACAGGGCTGTTTCGAATTCTGAAGTTTCTCTCCAGAACAAAGCGACGCATAAACTTCGGCGCTCCCCTCCCCCTTTGGTCCCACTCCGGCCGGCTCGGTAAGGATGCCATCCATGGTTGATCACTCGGCTTCCGACACAAACCCCGGCAAAAAGTGATTCAGAGAAACGGTCGGAGACCCGTCAACAATCCACCAACAGTCATCAAATTCGCAAAAGAGAAAGCTCCCCCGGACAGGCTTGAACTGTCAACCTCCTGATTATGTCAAACCACCTAAGAGATAGGATAACAGTCAGACGCGCTAGCCAATTGCGCCACGGAGGAGTTACATCGTAACCCTTTGTTAACTGAGAAAGCTCAGTTGTGGCGGTTGGTTGTTAGACCGGATTTGACAAACACAAGTTATGTCTTGCTTTCTTGTGTCTTACTGTGTAAAGGACGGTACAGGAGCAACAACAGAAGATGCAGGGGAAAAGTCTGACTTAAAGCTGTCCACAGGCAATAATTGTGGCTGAGAATCAGGTTCCGAAGCCCCTGAACTGCCACAGCAAACTTTCCACACCGGACGGGAAGGCTTAGCGTGAATGTCAGTGGCCAAGCTCGCTTCGACCTGCTGGGTGATGTTTGTGCCTTTGCTTGAGAAAACGGCAACTTTACTTCTTCCCCCAAACAAGGACTGCATGCATATGCTTTTGTAGGCTAACAAATAGGTCTTCCGTTTACTTCGGAATATTTTGAACTGCAGTTTTGCTTTCTCTTCGGTTATCTCAAAATTATATTCAATGGTCACTTCAAGACAATTTCCAACGAGGGTCGAGCTCGCTGCGACTCATGACCAGGAGTAATACATGGAGAGAGATACTTGTACTGAGGCCAGATTTATTTACAGCTTATAGGGCTCATCATCCTGTCAGGCTAGGAAGGGCAAAACCTGGTGCTAATTATGCTGATCCAACCAAAGCAACCTCGGGACCGTCTCCTCCCCGCCTTCTACCACACTTCTCCGCATAACCATAACCGGCACCAAACACACCACCACCATGTAAATAATATATCTACATCCAGCTAGCAAAAATGCCAAACACCTCAAACCACTTCTAACCACCCCCATCATGTCCTCCGTCACTGACCCCAAAGGCACCATCTCCTTCACCCTCCCTCCCGACCTGGTTCAGTATCTCTCCAACCTCGACGCCTTCATCGCCGACCAAATAACCCCCCTCCAGTCCCGCAACGACAACGACCGCTTCTTTGACCACCGCCGCGAACACGCCCGCACCGACTGGGACAACCAAGGCTTGCCTCGCCCGGAATGGGAAGACCTCCTCCATCAATGCGTCCAGCTGGCCGACAAGGCAGGGTTCTACCGCTTCTCTTTGCCGCGGCAATACGGCGGGCAGAATGACTCTCCGTCTGGGAGGGGATGTAATCTCTGGATGGCGGTGATACGGGAACACCTGGCCGCGAAAGGACTCGGTCTGTTCAACGATCTGCAGACTGAACACAGCGTCGTGGGCAACTTCCCTGATCTGCTACTCGTGCAGTGGTTCGGTACCAAGGCGCAGAAAGAGGTGTTGATACCTGGACGGTTGGAGGGCAGAGTGCGCATCACGTTTGGGCTCACGGAGCCGGGTCATGGGAGCGATGCCACGTTTATGGAGACGAGGGCTGTGAGGGAGGTGAGGGGCGGGGTGGAGGGGTGGCGGATCGATGGGCGGAAGATGTGGCAGACGGGGATGCATAGGGCGACGCATTGTCTGGTGTTTGCGAGGACAGCTGGGAGAGACGGGGAGGCGGAGGGGATTAGTTGTTTTGTGGTGCCGAGGGAAGCGGAGGGCGTGAGGGTAGAGAGTTATGAGTGGTGAGTTCTGTCGTTTCCACTTCCCCGTCCTCCTCCCCTCATTCACAACCGCAATCTCTATCCCCTTCCCCATCCGACCACCAACACTCCCAGGACCCTCAACATGCCAACCGACCACGCCACCATCTCCCTCCACTCCGTCTTCCTCCCCGACAATCCCTCCTCCCCCACCCCCACAACCCCCCTTCCCATCTCCCCCCTCCTGGGCCCCCTCCACCACGGCCTCCAAATCGCCCAAGCCTTCGTCCACGAAAACCGCCTCCGCCAAGCCGCATCATCCCTCGGCGCAGCGCGGTACTGCCTCTCGCGCTCCATCGCGCACGCCCGAACAAGAGCGCCGTTCAAAAAGCCGCTGTACCAGAACCAGGCGGTGCAGTTTCCCCTCAGCGAGCAGTGGACGCAGGTAGAGATGTTGGAACTGCTGATCCAAAAAACCGCAGTTGAGATGGACGAGGTTTCTGCGGCCATGGACGCCGCGTCCACTTGCGGTGCTGCCGCTGGCGCAGGGTTTGAAGTCGCTCCGCAGCTGTCGGCAATGGTCTCAATGTGCAATTTCTGGTCCAACAGACTTTGCACCCAGGCCGCCGATCTGGCCATTCAGGTTCATGGCGGTTTGGGGTATAGCAGGCATTTGCCGTTTGAGCATCTTTGGCGCCATCATAGACGGTATCGGATTACGGAGGGCAGTGAGGAGATTCAGGTTCGGAATGTGGGGAGGTGGTTGTTTGGTGTTCGTGGGGGGAAGGCGGGGAAGGAGGGCGAGGCGAAGTTGTGAGAGGTGTGGGAGGGGGGTTGGAGGTGGTCGTGCGTTTGTTTTCGGGGGCTTTGGTCTTTTTCTGCCATTCCATCACCTCAGGACATGCGGTGGAAATGGAGAGAAATGACATGATCTGTAGCCCTGATTTTGATACTCTGCAACGGAAAAAAGCTGAAGGACCGCGCCCCCCAGAATTCATCCTCCTCTCTCCTACCTAATCAAGACCCATGTCGCTGCAGATGAGTCAGATCCACATAGCTTCCAAGAGGTGTTCATCTTGCTGCGGGGTTATCAGTCGAGATACAAGGTCCGCAGAAGAATCCTTGAAGATGATACAGTAAGCTTTAAAGAAGTAGATCCACAGAGTGGAATTGATAAGTGAATAATCAAATATAATCAGTTAAATAAAAGGACGTGGTAAGCGATTCTTTAGTGTGGATTGGAAAGTAGATGATAAATCAAGCAAACAAATGAATTTACTAGATCAATTGGAAAAGGAAACAAGTGATTCCAGTGAGTGAGATAAGAAAGTAGAAATGTTGTTAACACGGTAATATAGCAGCAACAAGAATCAAGAAAATGACCGTCAAATCCCAGAACCCAAGTCCCAAGTACTCTCTCTCTCTCAAAAAATAATAATAAGAAAAATCAAAAATCACCAATTCACTGGAGTACCTAGCTACAGCCACAACAACGTCCCAGTCATAGCCCACTTTCTACGGCTCCACACCCAAGAAATAATCGCAGTTGACGACACCACCAAAATCGACCCTTACTACAACTATCACACGTCATCCCTACATACAAGGTTCACCAAGCGACGCCATCTCCCCATACCTACATCAGATGCCAGTCTCACACTCACAAAGCACGAGCCCAAGTAACAGTCAAGGCACCCATTTTCAAGATCGTAATGGTCATCATTGACTGCAGAAAGACAGACAGCTACCTGCAAAGGGAAAAAAAGCCGCCCTCCGTCCCTTCCCGCAACATACAGCAGGTGCTAAGCAAGACAGAACAGCATGCGAACAAGCCAGGTATATCCAAATCGAAAAAAAGGCATCAGAAAAGCAACCACCCCAACGACACCACCAACGCTGCCATTCCCCAGTCCACACAGCTTTTTGCCCCTCGAATGCTTCTTTTCTCTTGTCCTTTTCATTCTGTATATCCCCCCACCAAAAAAAATAAAAACCCGCAAGAAAAAAGGTTCCTATGTACCCTTTTTCGTAAAGTCATGCTCGTGAAATCATATCCGTAATCTTGGTAATGGTCATCATGTGCTTGTGTTTCTCGCCAAACTCCGGTTCCGAGGCCCTTCGTGTTGCTCGCGCTGTCCGCGTTCGAGATCCAGAAAAGGGGTAGAGAAGGGTTGATATGAGGGGGCAGGCGTGCGTGCGTGCACCCCGAAATCATCCGGATCCGTGGAGTGAGAGTTCGCAGAAGGCGGGCGGGGTATGGCCATCCAGGAGCACTGCGTTCCCAACGCAACCCCTCCATTCCTCAGTCCAACCTCTTCATCATCCTCCTCTTATCTTCCTTCCTCCCCTCCACTTCTCAAATAACCCCCTGCTCTTCTTAAACACCCTCCCCCTTCCCCTCCATGGCCTGACCACACATATCCCAGAACCCCCACCTCCACCCCTCCCCCAAACCCTCCCTCTCACTGCCAACCCAACCCTCAACCTTCCTCCTCCAAACATCCTCCTCCTCCCTCTGCCTCCTGATGAACTCCGGTCCGAGATCGAATTCCTCGCCCACAAACACATCAACCGTGTCCATCTGCCCGGGCGCCCCCGTCACGCTACCGCCAACATTGCTGTTCGAACCAGCACCTCCGATACCGACTTTGACGTCGTCGTCATCGCGCAGATCCTCGATATCCGCGAAGGGGTCTTCGTCGATGGAGATGGTGGGCGAGAGCGGCCCGTTGCTGTCATTCCGGGCGGAGGGGTCGAGTTTGAGCCAGCACATGCGACGAGGGTCGAAGACCATGCCGCGCTCGACTTGGACGCCGCGGGCGGTTGAGAAGTGAGAGATGAGGGCCGGGGCGCGGGGAGGCGAGGGCGCGGCGACGGGTTGGGAGGCCGAGGGGTTGAAGATGGGGGGGTTCGTACGGTCGGAGAGGTTGTGGGAGTGGCGGAGGGGGTTATTGGTGTTGGTGTTGGTGGGGAGGACGGGTTGGGAGTGGGAGTGGGAGTGGGAGACGGCGCGGGAGATGGGCGGGTGGATGGGCGAGGAGAATGGGAGGAGGGATTCTTCGTTTCCTTCCCAGCGTTGGAGGGTGGGGTTGTATGTCATTCCTTTTTCGTCTTGTGGTCGGTTAGTGGCTTGCAACGCCGAAGGGTAGTGGGAAGACATACTCTTGACTGCCGGTGCATTCATTTGCTTGATCAGGAATGGCTGCAGGCCAGAAGTCCGCTTCTTACGCATCGAGGTCGGGCTCGTGTGTGGACTTCTCGCTGCTATCTGTGCTTTCCAGTTCGCTGCAACCGGCATCAACGGCCCTTCGCCTCTAGAGCGGGTGCCGGCTAATCTCTGCTCTCGAGCTATCCGACTCGCCGCAGTGTCACGAGCGAACCTCGGCGTGTTCTCCTTATGCGGACTCGGGGGAAGTGGTGTCTGCATGCGTTCAGGTATCGGCAACTTGCTCTGGCTATGCTGATGCTTGAGCTGCTTCGAGGGCGGTCTGTTCGCAGGCTGCTT